TATGTGCTAGGACCCAGGAACCAGAAAATACTTTTGGGTGCCAAAGATTAGATGTAGTCTGTAATTGTCCGTAAATCAGGATAGTGTCCCTGCAAGTTATGTCCAAACGGCTTCTCCACTTGGTTTCCATTCCATTCATGAAGTCTGGTATTGGGATAGGTTGTGTTGTTAGTGTTGTATGGTTAGCGTCCTACTGGCACAACCTTGCAAACAGTTCTGCAAAGCTGATGATTGTCACTTGAAAGTTTGTGCAGTTTTGCATGTCAGCCTGCATATCTGATAATGCTGCCATCTTCCAGTTCAGTGTTGTGGCCCCACCTTCCCAGGATCAGTCATTTCAGACTTAAAACACTCAAACCAAGTTTGCTTTCACTGTCACAGGAATTGCAAAACTGCTTGGCAGTTATACAAATTTATACAATATTTTTTTTCCCCCTACCATTCCGGTTTTTGAATGAAGTACATCTCCTAATAGGCAAGTGTTGCCAGAACACAGATATAAAGCAATGCCTTGACCCCTTATTTCTAAACAAACCGCCTTCTGTGTTTTGGCCTGATTGTTATTGATATTCTAAATGCACCAGAATTTACTGGTTTGGTTTTGTTTCCTCTGCTAGCTTAATTTTTTTTATTACTAAATTTTTTTTATTACCATACTAAGGTGTAATGCTTCTAAGGCCACAGTAGCCACTAGGAGAAGGCCAGTAGGCATCAGCACTTGAAAACAGCAACAAAATTAAACTTCAAAATGAGCAGTATCTGCTTGTTGTGCCATTTAACCTGGTCAGCATCATGTCATTCTCCTGGCACTTAATTTCTTTGGGTTTTGTTAACTGGAACAAGATACCATGTAAATTTGTCCTTACATTCTTTGTATTTATCTCTTTTGTAATTTTCACTGGAAGGAGTGATTTATTTTGGAGCTTCATAACTGGAAGTCTCTCTTACCTAAATCTTTTTAACATTCTGCTTAAAGTATTTATATCTGATCCTCCCATTATTCTGCTTATTATTTTATTAGCCTCTGTTAAAGCTGATAAAGTCGTTCTCTCATTTTCGGCCACTATTTTTTCCTATTTGTCCATTTTCATCTACTCCTCTTCCTTTATACTCCATTTACCTTTATCTTATCTAAAATGTGTACATATAAGGTCACAGTTGGGTTGACAAACAGGAAAGTCTTATGACAGGAACATCCTTATGCACTAGTTACAGAAGTTTCACTATTTCTATGTTTGTCCGTTATATACTTACCACAGACAAACCAATGGCAGTGATTAAGTCTGGTGGAGTTGTGAGTACTGCTCAGCACTCACCAATACCATATATGCACTTTTGCTACATTGCCTTTTGCCCCTTAGGAAGTCTGCCTAACAGTTGGCAGAGTTATCTAGTGCTGTGTGGGGCGTTCCTCCCCACATGCTTCTGAACATGTGGCCGTAGCATCTCCTAATGGGAAGGTCAGACTCCGTCCTGTCCTGTGCATAAACTAAACTGTTGGTTTCGGGGCTGTGCATAGTTTGTCCATGGCACTGGGCACTCTTTTCATGTGCATGCTGAAAGCCCAGTCAATGCATTATCTCATCAGAAGTTCAGTACCCAAAATTTTGAACTTGTAACCATTTCCAGTTAGTTGTTCAACATTTGTTGTAAAGCAACAATTTACTTGTAGCATTCACAAACTTCTGCTCTGCTGTTATTACAATTCTAGTGTGCCTTTCCATTTTCTTAACATACCTTTAGTTCATTGCACAGTTTCTGTGTATCTGCCTGCTTCTCTAGCTCTTACACACACACTGTATCTTCATCTCAGTGCTTTTCCCTGCAGAGCTTGAGTTATGGAATATTTGTCTCCTGTATGTAACATTTTCCCCACTTCTCTGCTGAGGTGACTTGTGTTCTCTTTCACAGGGACTGGGGATTTTGTTAAACCTTCCTCATGCGTAGTTCCGTCCCACTGTGACCAGACTGCTTGAAGTCCTGCTAGCCTAATTTGGAGCTACCTGGCTTGTGGTTACACCATGCTGCAGCCACATCTGACTAAGACTCAAAATCTGCCACAAAACTAGAGCCTTGCTTGTCTCAATGCAAAGCTACAATGAAGGATCGAGGATTATCCTGCCTGGGCACATAACCTAATGGTAAGCTTATCTTTAGGTTTGGTTTGGGTTTTTTTTCCTGCCAGCACAAAATAGAAAATGCAAATCAGAAAACAAAGGCAGTGGGTATAGAATTCCTTACATGTAAAACTTGGGAGATCAGGCACACCATTTTGCTGGGGTCACTATATGCAGTACAAGGAGATCTGAAATTAGCTCCAGAAAGTCTCTGGAGAATCCTGTCTTTATCCCAATAGTAATAGAGTGCCATCTTTTATTGCTCTCCTTTATTCCTCCTCTTCCCCTATACACATCCCTGTTTCTTCTACCTGTCAAATTTCACCCATCCAAAATCTGTGGCCCCGGACTTTTCCTGAAGCTATTATGATGAGCTCTTCTCAAGCTTGCAGGTGGATAAAAGCTATGCTAGCTACTGTAGCTTCTGGACTGGGCAGACAGTTCTCTGCTTGTTCAGTTTGGTTCGCTTCACTGGAGTGTGGTATTGCGAGCGTTTAAGTCTAGAGTTGCATCTTTTTGAAACCTCCATTCTGACAGCAGAGCTGATGCCCTTTTGCTTAGGAGAAGAACATGGGCTACAGGTTATACATTGGTTTTCAGACACAGATTTTATTAATTTCACTGCATTAACATGAAACCAGGAAGAAACAGAATTCCAACAAGAAAAGAATTTTAAATAAAACACAGTAGTAGAAATATCACAGTTACAACAGGATTTGTATCACACTGAACTAGTTTATGCTTTAGTATTAAAAAGGTGCTTTCACTTTAGTGCAGTGGTAAAGTACATAAAAAAGGAAAAAATATTATTTCCAACCAAGAAAGTTTACTGTGAGGATAATTTTTAGTCTTTTCTTTACTCTATCTGTGGCTATTAATGTCACAAGGTAGTGGCCAGATTATAATAGTTGATAGGATAATAGCTAACAACTAATAGAAGCAGCGCCTTGATGTTATAAAGCTAGAGGTGGAAGAGTATTTGCACCACCTAGATTAAGGCATCTGATATCTAAATTAAGAGGCTGTCATTTCCAGGCTTCTTCTACAGTTGAATAGATAATCTTCCCCAGAAGCCATTTAAATCTTATGTCTGCTTCTGACTCAGGCATCTCTTTTTCTCCGGTGACCACTGAGGGCCCTTGAAGAGATTTGCTGTTAATTTAGGTATCTGAGTCACGTGCCTCATGTTTAGTGTGCAATAATCCTCTCTTGTGTCCTTAGGTTACCTGGAGGCTAGTTGAACCTGCCCCTCCAGATTTCCATGAGCAAGGCCTTACATGCATGAGCAGTGCCCTTTGAAGTAAATGGGAAAAAAAGCAGAAGGACAGTTCACTTGCATAAGGAATGCTCACCTGCACTTCCTTAGAGTTTGAAGCAAGAAGTTCTGCATTATGCCCCTCCCACCTCTTCTTTGCTAACATCATGTCCCTAGAATACCACTTTCTTTTACAGAGAAACTCCTAATAATGGCATAAATGTATGGCCATGTGACACCAGTAGAGTAACAGTCTCGATTCTTCAGTTAGCATGCAGTTCTGATTGAGGCACCAGCTGGCTATGGGCACTCTTCTGGGAAGACAAAGTGGGTATGTCTCCTCTGCAGGTGGCTGCCTTTACAGTTCCAAGGCTGCTGTCTGCCTAGAAGCCTATCCCAAACATCAGACTTACTGTATATGTGAAGAGCATGTTTTTCTCATGCAGGAGCCTAGCCTGACACACTTACTGCCTTTGACATGTAAAATCTTCCTCTACACACACAATTTACCTGTCCAGAACTAAGGAGGCCTCTGCTCCGTACCATGCTGATGGTCTCCAAAATCTTTCAGAGGGTCCTGATATTTTTTTTCCATACAGAATCTTGCATACTGAATACCAATGTAATTTTCATTGTGGCCTTGCAGATCTTTGCTGATGTGCTTTTATTGGTTAAGTGCCATTTTCCTTGGCGGGATATAATTTGTCAGAAACAAGCTCATGTTTTTGGGAATGCTGTCTTGTGCAGTTAGTAGATTTGGTATGCGCAGTTGCTTGCAAAATTGCACCCACAAAAATTACAATGTCACCCATTAAAATCCCACTTTGGAAAATGTTAGCAACAGAACAGTGATATGGCAGGCATAGAATTAAAGAACTAAACTGAAAATAGTATAACTTAGCCTATAGTCAAAAGGATTATGTTTAAAAATGACTACACTATTAGATAACAGATAAATCCTTGGATTTAATGGCCCGGTAAGATAACGGTCAGTCAACTCTCCCATCAGAGGAGAGATATTATATTGATATATCTCATACTCATCCACAAATTCCTTTTTATGGAAACATCTTTTATTCATGTAGGGGAAAAAAGTAAAGAAAACTAAACATACACACCCCCCATCAAATGCCTGACCATTGGGAGGAAGCATTGAGGATTGATGTGCCTGTTTAGTATTCAACCTTAATGGAACACCTTTTGGAAGAGACATCAATCCTCAAAGCTTCCTCCCAGTGTTTATCTTAAAATGTTCACATAACAGTAAACGGCTCTTGTGAGATGACATATTACTCCTTGGTCTCTTCAATATTGTATTCCTCCCAGATAAATCTCACTAGCATTCATTCACAGGATAGAATTTGGGTCAAGAAACAGAATCATACTATTCTGGGCCCCATTCAGATGTTGATGTGATCCAGCTATGGTGTTAATGTTTCCTGGAGAACTCACAGATTCTCGTAGTTTAAGAATGGAAAATGCTGTAACCCCAGGGAACAGTTAACCACAAGAATTGAGGCATATGCAGTTTTCAGTAGTGGTTGACATAAAGATCTTAAATAATGTCAAGCAGTCCTTAAGGCAAAGCACATGATGCAACATTTACTAACTAATGTTTTTATGTATTTTTACAGTCCAGTAGAGATGTCATGCTCTGCAGTGGATGGTGTGAATGTGGAACTAACTCTTTCTAATTTTTCATGATAAAGATTTGGACATTTTTTGCACAGGTGGGCTGCAACGTGCTTTCGGAAAAAGGCATAAAGATATTTCCTAAATTTTTCTCCAACAAATGCGTAGATCACAGGATTGATACAACAGTGAATCATTGATATTGTTTCTGTCACTTGGATTGCTTTCTCCAGTTGACCTTTGATTTCACAATTAGGGTCAAAAAGTGAACTTTGAAAAGTATGCAAAAAAGAAGAAATATGGAATGGTGTCCAGAAGATGAAGTAAAAAATCATGATCACGAAAATAAGTCTGACTGCCTTCTGTTTTTTCTCATTCTTGCATCTCAGTAATGTTTTTAGAATTTGTGAGTAACTGAAAATCATAATAAGCATTGGAACAATAAGTCCCAGAATGTTCATCTTTAAAGTATAGGAATACTTCCAATTTATTGTCGAATCGCTTGGATAATGAGCACTGCAAGTATAACGTGCATTTTCCTTTTGAGTTTTGTGAAATACTATCCCAGGAACAGAAGCAAAAATAGCAACAGCCCAAGTGACAGCGCTGGTGAGGATGCCGTAGGTAACTGTCCTAGCTTTTAACGCAAACACTGCGTGCACTATGGCCAGATACCTGTCTAGGGTCAAGAGGATTATGAAAAAGATCCCGCTGTAGAAGCCAAGGAGGTAGACACCTGAGAGAATTCTACACAGTGCCTCCCCAAAAATCCAGTCGTAAACAGCGTAAAAAGCCCAAAAAGGGAGAGAAAATACAAACAGCAAATCAGAAATTGCCAAATTGAGCAGGTAGATGTCAGTCATACTCTTCAATCTCTTGTATTTTACCAGGATAAGGATAACAAGCATGTTGCCTATGAGGCCAAATATCACCACCAAAGAATAAAGCGGTGGCAAAAGTTTTGCTGCAAAGTGCTTTTCCTCAGTTCCCATGCATGGTGCTGAATCGCTGTAGTCGAATTCTGTTGTCAGT